GATGAACAATCATTGACATATTGTGAACTGTTATATTATGTTCAAGTGTTATCTTTAACTCTTCTTAACGAATATCATGTGGTTCCAGGTGAGATCGTATGCCAGTGTATTGAGCGAAGTTTATCAATGGTAAGTTTTTAGAGAAATGATCTATTATTATTAATTATCTCTAATCTCTAATTATAGATCATTGGTTTATTATCAATTGAAATAATTGGTGGTGTATATTGTCCATTATCACCAGAAAATCCCAAACAACGTCTTCAAAATCTTATAGAACAAACACAAGCTCGTCTCATACTTGTTCATTCATTAACAAATCAAATATTTAAAAATAATTTTATTACATATGATATTGATACAATCATAAATTGTGATGATAAAATTACAAATGATGATCTCTATCAATTATCATATATTTTAATAACTCCAGATAATATAGCATATATTGTTTTTACAAGTGGGTCAACAGGAATACCAAAAGCGGTTTGTTTAATTTAATTATTTTTATTTTGCAATGGTATATCTCTGTATGTTTAGGTCCAAGTACGGCATCGTAATTTAACTGCTTATATGCAAAGTCTTGCCAAAATTACAGTATTTAAAAAAAGTGACAATGTAATACAAATCGCAAGTTGTTCTTTTGATAATCATTTTCAAGATATTTTTGTAACATTAATGATTGGTGCTGGTTTAGTTATATTACATCCTCATGGTAATAAAGATTTAACTTATTTTATTCATCAATTAATGGACAAAGATGTGACTATTTTGGAAGCGGTACCAAGTTATCTTGATATATTATGTCAACATCTTGAAATACAAGACGCAAATGAATGTTTAAAGAAATTACGAACATTGAGTAGTGGAGGTAAATCTATTCAAATTGAATATTTTTATTGAGAGGCAAAAAGAATTTATCTCATTTCTAGGTGATGTTTTAACAAATCAAATAATGTCACGTTTAAAAAAATATGCATCTGTACCATCGTCATCGTCGTCATCGGACGGCTGTCGGCTATGGAATACGTATGGACAAGCTGAAGCAACAATTACTTCAACATATTTTCAAATAGGATTCGATTTTGATTGTGATAAACAAGTGATGTCAATTGGAAAACCACTTCCTAATTATCATTGTTCAATTATAGATGAATATTTTCAGTTTGTTGCTGTTAATCAAGAAGGTGAATTATTTGTTGGTGGTGCATGTGTATTTGCTGGATATTTTGGTCGTAATGATTTGACAGCAAAAATATTGATGGAAATTAATAATAATATATTTTATCGAAGTGGTGATCTTGTTCGATGCGATAATCAAGGTTTTCTCTTTTTTAAAGGTAGAAAAGATCATCAAGTAAAATTACGAGGACAACGTATTGAATTGGCTGAAATTGAGAAATGTCTTATGAATGCATCATTACTTGTATCTGCTTGTTCTGTTATGAAATGGAAAGAACAACATTTAGTTGCTTATGTTCAATCTTCTCATATCGATGAAGAACAACTACGCCAACACTGCCAATCTCATCTTCCATCGTATATGGTACCAGCAATATTCATTATACTTGATAAACTACCTTTAAATTCAAATGGAAAAATAGATAGAAAACTTCTACCGCCACCTGATTTTTCATCGTCAACTGATAATATTGATGGTAATGTGGCGCACACTACTTTAGAAAAACAATTACAACACATATTTAGTCAAGCTTTCCATATTGAATCTCCTCATGTTGATATTCCTTTCGGTCAACTTGGTGGAACATCATTAGGTGCTATCTTTGCACTGACATTGATTCGTCAGCAGATTTATAATAAAGTTGACATTGGCCTTTTATTTGCTAATCCATCTATTCGACAATTGGCTATAGCAATAGAACCGTTCTTGATTTCGAATCAATCACAAAAGATAGTGCTCGCACCCAATCAATCTCATGAAATACTTCTTCGTTTTTCACCTTCATTTGTTATAGAATCTGTAGGTATTCTATTTCTTGTCTGTCAATGGTTATGTCCAATTATATTAATTCATCGATGGTGTTCATTCCTTTTTCCAATCTTACCAGCATTTCATCTTTTATTCTATGTCATCTGCTCGCGTCTATTGTCACCACGCTACATCAAAACTGATAATCTTTTCTCTTGGAATTATTATCGATGGTGGTGTTTAGATCGACTATGGAATAATAATACATTTTGGTTGCAGCATATACTTGGCACATCACTCTACAATTATTATCTTCGTCTTTGTCGTGCGCGAATTAGTCTCAACACTCATATTTATACCACAGCTATCGATGCTCCGTGGTTGTTAGAAATTGATGATGAATGTTGGATTGGTAGTGGAACGTATTTGAATTGTTTATATTTTAATGATGATAACACGTTCAAACTGAGTCCAATTAGAATTGGACCTAATTGTTCAATCGGTACACGATCAGTTCTATTTGATGGAGTTGATATGCAAAACAATATTATTGTTCAACCAATGTCGTCAGTCACTGGCTTCGTCGCCTCTGGAACGATTGTTGATGGTGATGAACACAAATCTCTTCCATTAGACATCTCCATTGTGCAGAGTAACAGATCATTATCGATATGGCATAAGATCTACCAAATTATTGTAATCAGCTCGATAATCTGTATTCATTATACACTTTTGATCCTCGTCTATAAAGTTTATTCAGTTGGACAAATACCACTACCAATCAATATTGCTTTTTGCTGGACTTTATGGTCAATTATTGGCTGTTTCATTTCTCTTCTCCTCTTGAAATTCGTAGTTGGCTCTTGCGCTGCTGGTGAAATATATCCGATAGCATCTAAGTTATATTTACAAAAAATATGGCTTCGTCAATTAATTGTATCTAGTTTTTATCATGCTTGGCTATTGCCGACTAGCTACGATTATCTTTATCCTTATGTTCTTCGTTGGTTAGGTGCTCATGTCGAAGAGAATGTTAAACTCGCTGAGATAGACACTTTTCTATCCTGTCCAACAAATCTATTGAAAATTGAAACAGGTGTCACTACTTTTGGTGGAGTCCTAATAGTTTCTACTGAGTTGACACTCTCAGGTGATCATCGTGTAGATCAAATAATACTTGGATCTCACACAAACCTTGCCAATGGATGTTCAATTTTACCTGGTAGTTGCCTTGAATCTGAGACAATTATTGGCAATTTAACACGTGTCTCACGAGAGACAAAAAGCAAATGCGGAGAAGTTTTTATGGGTGTTCCAGCTCGTGCAATGCCATTCCAAATGCCTCCCAGGCTAGAAGTACAAGATCAAATTGGAATCATACCATTTTGGCATACGTGCTTGTCTCATTATGTTAGTAAATGTCTTTTATTAAGCATTTATTCGTTTGGTGGTCTTGTTGGTGGATCAGTCATTCGTACAATACTTGTCTGTAGCCTTTATCGATGTCGTTCATATATACGCCATCAAATTGTACAACAAATAATAGGAATAATGAGTCAAGATTATGAACAATTTATTTGTCCATTTCTTGGCAATACACAATGGCTGATTCGACTATTTCAAGCATACGGCGCTCATATTGGTGAGAATGTCATAATGCCTGATATATCGAGTATTACTGATTATCATTTGATGACTATTGGAGATAATGTTCGACTTAATATGGGTACACAGATACAGGTAATACATAAGTTTTTAGTAATTTACTTTTACATATAACTATTTTTCTAAATCTTTTCAGTGTCACAGTTTCGAACAACGTATTTTAAAACTAGCTCCTGTATCAATCGGTAATTCATGTATACTGATGAGTTACTCAATTGTAATGGCAGGCTGCAAAATAATGAGTAACAATCGTCTTTATCCCATGACATTGATAATGAAAAATGATCAATTACCACCAGATACTCACTGGAAAGGAGTTCCTGCACGTAAGTCAGGTAGATAGATGATCTGTTCTTATATAAGACTTCCAAGATATTATCTAATCGTTATTAATGTTCATTTTTTCATATCCTATCGTTTCTTTTCAGTGAGATATACTATTCTTAAAAATGAGCATATAATCGTTTCAATATAAGAAGCTAAATTGAGTATAGCATTTTCTAGATTTTCTCCTGACAAGCCATAATAAAAATCATTTGGTTAATGTTTTTTTTCATTGATACTATATTCTTTCTAAACTATTCCGTTGACTGTAGCATATGATATAATATACATCGAATCTATTTTTTATCATATTCTTTTATTAATATAGGATTCAATTAAATCTCTTTATCAGCATCTCATACTAGTATTAGATCGGTTTAAAATTATCATTTCATATCAAGAAATAATACATATATATGATACGATGAAGATACGATAGAGTACCGGATTCGTAATGTCTTAAACTGTAGTTAAATTAACTAGTTTGATAATTAGACTGAAAAATTAAAAAACTATACATCAAACATCTTGATAAGATTGTGCATTCACACTCTTTTCGAAATAGACACAAAAATCTTACATCTTTTTATACTTATCATACGTTTTTTTT